TTTGTAATAACTGGATTTTCATTTTCAATCACAACTTAAGGTAGACACTATTACGCCCACAGGTGGGTGCTCTGAGTGTTGCTGTGGACCATTAGAGACTGTAGCCACAAGCCTGCCACATGGCAGCTCAGGAAAATAAACAAGGCTCTGGCATGGGGAGCAGACGCTACTGTCGTCATCTCTCTTTTCAATCCAACAGCTACTGGAAAAAAAAACTATTTTCTATTCTTAAACTTGAATCGGTAAAAATATGGAAATGGGGCCCCCCAAAATCATTATTGTTTGGTGGTAAATATGTGAATGCATCATTAATTGTTTCTGTAATGTGTACAGTTGATTTTGGAGAAGTTGGTAATGGTTGGTTAATTGGTTTCGGTTTTTGTTCGATAATTTGTTCAGACGAGTGTTGTCATGCTTCGGTTATCGAGTTGGAAAGCACTCCAGTTTGAACACAGTATTTTTGTAAAGGGTGTAAATGTTTTACTGACATTTTAGCATAAACTGTGATGAGGGAAAGATTTCATGTTGAAGTTAGTTTCAGCTCTTAACGTGGCCTTGGTGGCCGCTGCATTGTTAATCACCGCGGTTGAGAGGGGGCAAGCGCGGCAAAAAAGAGTATAATATGTTGGAAAAAGGCTTTGTGTATTCGTTGTAGTGCTGAGAATGCCTTGTTTTACAGGATTGTTATATGTTAAATATATGAGTGAATGTATGTTATTAGATTATGGTCCTTTTCGTTATTATTTACTAGTATTTTAAGTTAGGCCAATTTTGTCATTTTAAACGTGTTACCTTCATTTGATTCATGTGAACTTTGTTTTTAATTAGACAAAATGTTTTTAAAATATTGGTAAGTTAAATAAGGCCATTTGTTATTCAGTTTGTGGAATATTTTTGATATATGATTTTTGGACATTGGCACTTAAATCAAGCAAAAGTTAGAAAGTGCTTGGGATGATTCAGATTGGTAAAGGTGTTTCAGAAATAAACAAGCTCTGGCATGAGGGCAAGACCGCTAACTGTCGTCATTCATCTTCTTGTCAATCCACAGTTTATATATTGGCTACACAGCTGCTTCCCTGCCTGTGTAAACCTTTGCTGCTGGCCAGATTTCCCCTAGGTCTGGTGCCGGTAACACAGTGATGGGCTTGGGCCACGTGAGGGGCCGCTCCGTGAGCAGTTAGGGGTTGGGGTGCCTTGTCAAGGACACGTAGCAGTGCACAGGGGGAGGTGGAACTGGCCACCCTTCTCCACCTGGGCAGTCCACACTCCATAACTGTGGTTTTGTGCTGACTTGAACTTGGCAACACCTCCAAGTTTCCAAAAGCCAAGCCCTACAGACTAAAGGCTACTTTGGCACCCGAAGGCCTTAGGCTTTTAATGCTAAATGCCATGTTCAAGGCTCTCTCTTCAGTGTCTTTAAATGTATTAGCAGGCTTCATTTGAGATTTGCACTAAAACCCAAAGTACAGCTGGAGGGCTGAAACTGGAAGTGTCATTAGTTTGGGTAGGTATTTGGTAAATATAGAAAAAAACTGGAAGACCACTTTAAGCAGACAGTTGAGGGAAAGGGTGCTGCTCAAAAGGTTTTCTGCCTCTTAAAAGGAAGTTTTCCCATGCTGTCACCTAAATTCTGGGCTAATGGTGGTAAAAATGTTTCGGGTCTCTAATAATTTCCATAAGGAATACAGTCTAAAAGACCTGCTGTATATAAAAGGTGGATGAAAGTCGTCCTCTGTTTGTGATTGGCGCTATAACTTTTGACAATGGATGGCATTTTAAAAATAAATGAAATGTGTCTGCTCTTAAACAGGTTTCTAACACATTCATCCCTCCTACTTTGGGCCTTTAAAACAATCAATAAACAAAGTTCAGTACTAGATACTAGTATTCCCCAATACAAACCTAAGTACATTAGAAAAGGACTTACTAGGAACATGAGGTTCATGTCTTTCTAACCTTTTTTTTTTGGCAACAGGGGGGCATTTTTTAAGGATTTAAGTTTCTATCACGGACCAAAGCAAAAACAAAAATGGAAAAAATTAACTTTAATAAACCAGAAATCGAACATTTGTCATTATTTTTTAACTTTGTCATTCTGTGCTGCTGGAATATAAAATCCCTGGTAAAGTCCCCTCCACATTTGTTTCAAAAGATTAAAGATTTTGCAAAAGGGTCATACTGTAATAACATGGATTTCATTGTACAGTCATTGTGGCTTTTTGACAGGCCTTGCGTTGGATTGACCCCACTTTATCCCCACATTTATGTCCCAAACGTCTTGATAAAGGACAACATGCCTTTAAATCATCGGGAGGGAGTAATATTTCTCAAGTCAAGGCTTACAAGTGCTTGGGTCATCAAAAAATAATTAATTTCAGGTTTTTATGCAGTAATTAGGTTATAATGTCAGTAATAGGTATTTGGTTTAAAACAGGTCATCTGGGGGTAAAAAAAAACATTTTTATTGTTATAGACAAAGTAACGAAATTAATTAACCCTCCAAACAACTGAGCTTTCCAAAACGTAGGCATGGTTGTTAATGCTGTCCAAGTGCTTTTTTTGTTTCTTTTCTTGAAATCCTCATCTGGTTTTCAAACATATCATTCAATAATATCAATTTAGGTTAAACCAGTATGGCTTGCACAGCTTGCTACAATGATATTCATGTAAGTTAATGAGCATTCTCCTTTTTTTTAACCAACAAAACAAATTCCCTTATTTGGACTCAATTAAAACAATTAGCTGTCGCCACTGGAGATTATGGTTTTACTGTAAAATTTAAAAACAAAATGAAAGGAAAAAAATAGAGGGGGTGTCTGTTTAAACAAAACTTTATATACAGTGTTTTCCAACCCATTACAACTGCACCATCTCTCCACGTTTGCATGTCTATAAGCCCTGCATGCACATGATTGTATTTCGGGCCTGTTTGTAAAGTAAGAGTGAAAAAAGACTTTCCCCTTGGAGATTAATAAAGTGTATCTTCTTCTTCTCCTAATGCAGCCTCACAGCCGTTAGCATGGCTCTTATTCTTGTTTAGTTTCTGCCGGCGTCCTTCAGTTGAAATGTGGTTTTCTGATTATTGGACCTGTGCCTGTGTTAATGGGTCGGGGTGGAATATTAGGCCTATGTGAGGGGTGGCTGTGGCTCAGCAGTAGCGTAGGTCGTCCCACCAATCGGAAGGTTCTTCGTTTGACCCCCGGGGTCAGAGTGTCTTTAAGCAAATTACTGTGAATGTGGTTTCTGTTCGACGGGCTTTGCCATCACTGTGTGAAAGGGTGAATGTGGCATGTAGTATAAAAGCACTTTGAGCTTTTGCCCATTTGTGGCGCGTTTGCCCTTGTTGGTCACCATAAATTACACCTTGAAAAAGTTTAGTTATAATCAAATGTCAAGATTTATTTCAGCCTTATAACATGGTACACATACAGAATGATATATATAATATATATATGTATCCACATAAATATTTGTTTGCAGTAGAAAAAATCAAAAGGCATCCTTCGAATTAGACAAACAAGCTATGTTTTAACTATGTTTTAATCAACAATAAAAAACAGTTCACATTTACCATCATTTCTTAAATGTTAATAGATTACATTACATTACTGACCTTCAAATTATCATCTGCTCACCTGAATTACATCACAGAATGCTTTTACAGAAAGTTTTAAAAATGACAGTTTAATACTAGCTACAAGGTGTAATGAATAAGAGCACAGCAATGTCGATACATATACAATACAATCCCAGTAAAAATACTCTCTTCATTCACCAAGGATTCAGTCTTAGGACATTTTAGGGTGAAAATACATCAGTGTCGTCAGCATACGTAAAATTCCCATCCATACAAACTAAAATCTAAAAAGAAAAAGTGCATTATGTTTACCCAGATGAATATTCTGGGTAAAGGAAACTTCACAAAGTGAGTGTCCTAAATGTGACACTCATGTCATGTCAGTCATGGCAGTTGAAGTTAACATTTCAGACTTTTACATCTTGCTGTTATTTTTGGCTGCCTAACTGCACAACTGAAGTGAAACAAATTCACTTGTACCAGTATTGTACTGCCTGTTTCTTGTGATTAAACAAACAGGGGCCACAACAACCATGACCACAAAAGGTGTGCTGATCTTTCCTCTTACAAACTGATACCTTTTTTTAATTGTTAGGATGATAAACTCAAGCAGTTTGCATTATGTTGATGATGGTACCACTGTGGCTGACATTGTGGGTGACACTCTGGATGGCACTGTGGTTGTCCTTGGGCTGGTTGTGTTCATCTTAGCAGCATTTGCCTTCTTCCTGCAAAGAAAACATATCATGATCAATCTTTTCATTAGAAATTTTACTCATCTAAACCAGTGGTGTAAAATCTTTCAAATCTGGATTGGAATAAAGATTACATTATAACACACTTAATTCAATGCTACTTATGCTGCGATGTGCAACCTTTTTGACCTTGACTATAATGTCTACTTGTGACCCAATGTGTGAGCAAATGTGAACAAAGGGTGATATTTTTATCTTTTATTTTTCTAAATTATCTGGTTAAATCGAGAAAAATGGCAAATATTAGGGGGAAATCTGTTTCTGTTTAATTTATCCCTGATGTTGATGAGTGTCCTGGCCCCTAGTTGCGCTACCAAACAAACCCCATTGTGCAATAGACATGCCTTACAGTTTGGATTGAGCAATATGCTGGTCCTTAAAACTGCTCTTTTAGTTCTGCATACGCTGCCTCTACTCAAGTAATTGCAGGAATACATAAATTACATCCTTCTTGCTGGCAGTGATGATGTGCAGAGCAACACTGTGACTGCTGACCTCCACTGTTTACAGAAAAAAGTCTTTGCTCAATCTTCCACATCCTTTATTTGGCAAACTTTCTCTCATCTAATTACATAAATATTAGTTCATACTATGTTAAATAGCAGCAAATGAAGGCCCAACATGTAAAAAAGCTTGTCTTTGGACTTACGTTCGCATTCTTAGCAGAAGCGCTTTGGTGAATCTTTGTTTTGGGTCAAGACACCGTGATTTCTCATCATTTAGGATGACACTGTAGGAGAAAGAGAAGTTTTAATGAAAAAAAAATGTAAACAACGAATTAAACAATACGAATTATTGGAAAATCAACATTGATCTACTAATAATTATACTTACATGACTTCTCTCCTGTTGCAATATGGACGTATTCCATACTCCTTGACATCAGCAATGAGAGAGAAGTTTACACCCTTGATTGTTTTTACACACTGGCAGTACGGATTAACTGGAAAAATGAAGACAGAGGTGTTAATAAACTATGGAATAGCTACAGTTTCACCTTTCAAAACTGATATGTCAGGCTCAACAAAAGAAACAGAGAAACAGAAACTTTTTCCTTAAAGTTAGCTAATTTAAAGCCACATGCATGCAGAAATATAGACAAAAAGCTTTTTAACAATCCAGTAAATTAACACACTTACTTTGTGAAGTGTACAATGCTGCACAGGCCAGGAAAATGATACACTGGATTACAGTCTTCATCCTTGTTTTATTCGAGTGAGTAATCTTCAAAGGATTTCAAGAATCTCCTCTGCTGTGTAAAGTGCTTAAGACTTTGAAGCCCATGTTCTCTGCACCTCCTTTTTATACACTAGGCGGACACATTTTTCCAGAGAAATGGTGGGAAAAAAAGCTGTTTCTCCACATTAGTTCTCAAGATTTTGTAATCCATTCCTCCTTTTCCTCGGAATCAACTTGTCACCTTCAACTTCCTTTTAAAGACTTCCTGTATATCAAGCTATGGCCCTCATGTTGAAATTGCCTTTGTGGGTGTGTGACAAAGTAGACTCATCTCTCTCTGTAATTTTTCAAGCTTACTTGTATTTAGTATTTACGTGTTAGGACTTACCTGCTTGTGTTCATTTGTACAGCCCTTTGTTCCCTACGCTCAATTTCACAATTGACCATGAAAACTTCCTGCAATTTCACCTGTCCAACCCGGCCACTCGCAGGCACTACTCGATCGCCCCCGCGGGTCTCGCTTTTTGGCTGGTTTCAGCGTTTGTCTTGTATAACTGTCAACCTCATCCCAATCAAGGCATTAGCAACCATCGAATGGCACGGAAAGGTTGTTTTTTTTCAGCTCATTTTTTATTTGTCGCGTTTATTGTATAATTTTTCATTACTGAATCTCAGCACATACTCAAAGGTGTCGAATTGTTCGGTATCTTCTGACACGAAAGGCCGACCTGTGTGGGAGGGGGCCGCCCGCAGCATGCTGCTTGTTTAGAGTGACAACGATGACCGTCACGAATTACGTCAGGGAGCGTACCCCTGCTCTAAGCGGGGCGCGAATCTATTCTAATTCTGTTTGCCGTTCTTCATTTTATGAATGGTGGGGAACTATTGAGTTGGTGTTACATTCAAACGCGTATAGGGAATCTGAGTGATATTTATACGGGACCTGTTTCTGTTGAACGCTTGTGTCTTGGTAACCAATATCAATCTGTAATAATAACCACTGACAGTGGTCGCGATGGTTTAGCCAATCTAGTTTCGTTCAGGGCAGCGTAAACACTGTATACAGAGTCAGTTTTCTTGGGGGACCAGGCACGAGAGGGAAGCGCAGTGGAGTAGGATCGAATAGACAGCATGAGACACGTGCTGTTATTTCAGTTTTGTGAGTTTATTTTTCCCTGCAGTTTTTCTGTAAACTATGTATCTAGCTCTCTTCTCTCTCTTTTCTATGCATTGCCTTTTCACAATTTTTTGGGAAGCACTTTGAAATAAATGCCCACCACAAAGGGACTTTTACCACAAGTCCTGAGTGTGCTCCTAGTTGTTGACCTACTCTGGCCAACACTATCTCACACGCGGCGTGGGCATCTTCATTTAGTTGATGCTGATCTGGGCTGATTTGATGATCATTTGACTCGCTCTTGGCACACTCCAATATACTACCTCTCCTTTTAGCATATACCCCTTATTACTGCAGAGCTCTTTTTTACTTTGTATGTGTGTAACAATCATCTAGTCTCTCGGTGTCATTTATTTTGCAGTTAGCCAGTGTTCACCAGTGAGAAAATGATGCTACTTACTGAAGCAATTCTGACGCAACCCTTTCTGCTATTTCTGCACCAACCCAGTCCACATTTTCGTCGAACGCCCCCACGGTTGCACTGCGGCAGCCCGTGAAGCAGCCCTTTTTGAAGAGATATATTAGCTTGATTAAAATCACAAATTCATCATCAGTAAACATAGCACATCTTGTAGATACTTTATCCAGCGACGCCAGCACGACTGTAGCAGACTACCAGCCAACCACAAACTCCGAACCCTCGCTACCCCATCGACTTTATGAAGACATATGACGAATTTATGATAGTGCTTTAGGAAAGAGTTAACCTAAGTTCACTCATGAATGTGATGATATGAGTTTTGCTGCACGCAACTTTACCATCCGATGCAGTGGGCCATTCTTCTTTTTCTCTGAAAGACAGCCTGAACATCACACATAGCCACCATCCGACGACATGACAGTGCCACGGATAATTCCCAGGGAGCTTCAGTAAATTCATGCACCTAGAGGGCCTTGCCTTGGAGGACATCCAAGAATGTGCTGCTGTTTAATCAGTGACCACAAGAGGGTTTTTCAAGGATATTCTTTGCGCAATTTTGAAAAAGTTTAAGGTAACGCAGAAACAACCTGTATGGTAACGTCCATCTTTACGGTTAACAAGGGACAGAAACTGTTTTCGGTGCGCTACCACAATGCCCAAGAGGTGTGAACCAAAAAATTCAACCGACACCGACAGAAAAGCTTCTTCTTCCATCATAGCCGGTTCCGACTGGTCGGTTTGTCTGATGCCTGCTTTGATAGCCTTCATTTCAGCAGAT